GCGGCGGCGGCTGGGAGCCGGCTCGGCGCGGGGCAGGCCGGGAGGTGTAGTCCCCGCGCGGCGGCGGCCGTGCCACGGTGGCAGGGCGGCCTCCCCTCACAGCCCTCAGCCCCCATCACCGGGAAGGCGGTGCGCCGCCGGGGACTGAGGAAAGAACGGCTTTCATGTGGATTTCAATTTACCTTCTGGTTTGCAAGCAGCTTGGGGCTTGCTTCCCTCACAGGGGCTTTTTTCCTGCCCGCCACAATGAGCGTTGAGCGCTGAACTGGCTGAAGGCGGGCGTCAGGAGAGGATGAGATGATGTAACCCACCAGTTTACAGGAGCCGTGGCCGCTGGGGAGAACTAGAAAAGGCGCCAGGAGCTGCTGGTCCCAGTGCGGCGCCCGCAGAGCCAGCCTCCAGGCCTGGGGGAGTCGAAGCTCCCCATGGCCAGACACTCCACAGCCAGAGGCAAACCCACCGCCAGGGCCCCCACAGGCCACGCAAAATGGGTCTTGGCCCTTCTGCTTTTCCTTTACACTTTCAAGCTTTTAAAATGTGTTTTACATCTCATTATCTTGGCTGCATACGTCTGAGCCGCTTGCTCGATGCTTCCCAGGTAGCCCAAGCAGAACATACATGGGGCATGGAGTAGCATTCAGAGCTGCCGCGCTCTGAACTGGAGCTCTGTGTCTTGCCATTGTTTCCCCCACCGCATACAAAGAGATGTTTCATATGTAGAGGCGTACAAAAGCAGATTAACAAGGATTTTGCCCCTTTCAGTTTCACATTTTGCTCTCAAAACCCTAAGATGCTGTGTAAGGCATCACTACACCACTAAAGTTAAATTGGAAACACTTGAAGGCAGATAAATCCAAAATACAGAAACACCTGTGAGACATCCTGTTTAGTAACCAAAATTAGCTTCATGATCCGCAATTAAACTAATACAAAAACCGGCTATGTTTTAACAATAATGCTGTTAACATTTATGTCTGATGGTATGCTGCAGGGGTTTCTATGGAGTTGTAAGCTACACATACTGAATAATTTTTTTCACCTGAGAAATAAGAATAAAACCAATCACAGTTGTGTACAAGAGTACACTTTTGGTGTTGGTTAAGTCTTTCTTTGAGAAAAATTATTATTAAAAGGTTCCACAAAGTAACAAGTGTCAAAATCACACTGGAGTTTCTATGAGCTCAGTGGGAGTGTAACTTGTACAGTTCTTGCTTTTGACTTGAAGACTATTATTCAGAATTTCAGATAATAGATGTTTCCAGGGGAGCTGTAGAAAGTTTAATAACGTTACCTGTATTCACATAGGATTCTTTTTCCATGGATCATTCTTTACATACAGAAGGAAAAGCAGATTTAGGCATTGCTAAACAGATGAACATCTGTAAGAAAAAAAATAAAAATCTTTAAGCTGTTAAACAAAATTAGTTACTTTGAGCAAGTATATTTATATTGCAAGCTGGTCCTCTTTTCAAAAGAGTAAGATTTTGTGATCCAATGACATTTCAGAATATGGCATGTTCTGAAAAGCCAGAGGTCCTAGTGATGAATAAGAAAAGCCATAGGGAGCTGAGACTGTGACTCAGAATAGTCTCTGACCAAGGCTTTTGGTATGTACCATAATTAAGTATTAGGACTCTCAGAGGAAAATTAGGGCTTTTCCTTCAAGTGATACATATAAGCAAAATAACACTGAGGGGGGAAAAAATTGTCCTTAGTGTTATGGCATGTTTTCTGAAGATGTGTATACTACAGACACAATAACTATGAGTACCATATTGTACGAGGACAGTAGCAGGCAGATTTTATGTGAAAATTATATTTGTAATTACGACTTTAACCTATTTGTGACCCGTGTCGTCATCCAGAGAGCTGAGCCATCCTTGTAAGAAAGATAAAGAAAAGCTGATCCTTGCTGTACTGTTAGGAATTTGCTGACACAGACAAAGCGAGGACAAGTTTCACTGTATTTTTTTTTTTTAAACTGTGTTATAGTTGACAGAGTAAGTACCCTTTTTGAAAGTTCAGACAAGATTGTGTTCAATTCTTGTTCATTAACTTGAGTGTTTACAACAAGATGCGTGTTCATTCGTTGGCCAAAGTGACATGAGCCTTTTTCCTCCGGATGCCAGGTTAAATCATGTGATCAGATGGTCTAAACAGAGTTCATCTGAGCCAGTTTATTCACACTGATTTCCCATTAGAGCAAGATGAACTAGTGGAATCCAAGAGAGGAATCAGTGTCATACTGAGTACCTCCCCTTTCTGGGGGACAGTAGCTGACACATGAACTTGATCTGCTAGACCTGCCCCATGCATCATGGCCAGATCTGTAACAGATAGTTCAACGCTGGCCATTATTATGCCTGGCTTACTGTTAATGTGGAATTATAAGCTAATAATTCTTGTACAGCTCTCTGTGTGACCATGTGTACACAGATTTGGAACCTGTTACAATATACAAAATGATGCAGCTGTCTCTTCTGAAGCCTAATGCATTCTGGCATTAAAGCACTCTTCCTAAGATAGTTTTTTATTCTTTTCTTAAAATGTTTCAATCATTCTTCCACACAACTGAGATAATCCTTTCAAGCAAGCATTGTTCTATTAACAGGGGAAAACCAAAATATCCTCAAACAGGAAAGGATATTTAATGTATCTAAAAGCATAAAACATAAAGCATAATGT